ACCAAAAACCCAAAACACCTGCCTTCTTCACCGTTGTCTTTAATCAACCGAGATCCACTCTCTCTTTTATTATCTAATCTCGATTCGAAGCACCCTAAATATCCAAAGGTAACTGAGCCCGAATCCTATAAGGAATTTATTTCTCAAAGCAAAAAATGTTTCTGTGTTTAATTCTTGCTATCATCGTGTGTGGATTGTGGCAATTTGGACTGTGGGTTATGTGTGTGGGAGTCTCAAGTTGTGCTGTATGGTGGTTCAAGCAGTAGACAGCAGAAAATGATAAGGCTATTTTGGCGACGTGGTGGGCTTACGATGGTAAAGAATGAATTCTTTAATGGTTTCTGTTGTAGGCTGCAACATGTTGTGTATATTAGGGAGGGACTGGGGAATTGTTTTTGGGATGATATGTATTGCTCTATGGATTCTCATGTAATAGTGGAGACTCTGGCGTTGATTGGTACGTACTGCTAATGATAATGGTGATTGGTTTTGGTGAGGAAATCAGAGATTGTGGATTGGAAGTTGCAGTAGTGGAGTCGTGGTTGTTGTGCTCTACAGTGGTGATGCGTAGTTGTGACAATTCTAGTAAGAAAGATTAATTCTATGCTTACGAGAGTAAGGTTTTTCTTTGGGATAATATCCTAAATGGCCCTTGAACTATTGCCGTTTAGTGAATTTGATATCTAAACTAAAAATATTGCTAAACAAATATCTAAATTATGAAATTATGTATTAATTTGATCTAAAAGTTAATTCCGTTAGCCTAGATGTTGACTTGACTATTTTAACTAATAAAAATCTGTCATATGGACAGAAAATGACGTGTAAACATAATATGAATTACTTACGTGATCAAAAATTAAAAAAAAATAAAATTAAACCCCAAACAAATTAATTTCTCTTAAACAATAAACCCCAAATTTAATACCCAAACCCCAAACTCCCAAATTCGAAGAACCTAGAAGAAATTTAAGCAAAGTTCTTGTTTTCTTGTCTTTCTTGCTTTTTGATTAAGCAAACAAAGAAACAGAAAGTGCACTGTTTAAGCAAATTTAAGCAAACAGATAAAGAGAGGGTTAATATCCTTAAATCCCAAAAAAAAAAGAAAAAAAAAAAACTCAAAACCCAAAATCTTAGATCAAGGTATAAAGGAAAGCACCTGAAACTGAAGAAACAGAAAATATTAAGTATAAATTCAGAGATGCACGTGTGTGCTTATGTCACAGCAGAATTACTATTGCCCTTTGGAGATAGCCCATTGAAAAAGGAAGACGGGACCAGATGCATAGTTGCTTAGAGAAATTTTGTTGTAGAAAAATATTTGGCCTATAAGTGTTAAAGTTCTGTTCAGTGTTGCCCTCCTTCCCAACAAGCCTCCTCTTGTCTCTCCACTCCCCACACTATGAACTTTGTCTTGCTAGAAACAAATCTTAACCCAAGACTGATGAAAATGACGCTCACATATCTTTTAGGTTTTGCTTAAATTTCTTCTGGATTCTTCAAATTTGGGGTTTAAAGTTTGGATATTAAATTTGGGTTTACCGTTTAAGGGGGAATTAATTCATTTGGAGATTTTTTTTTTATAGATTCAATTTGTTTTCAAATTTTTTGACCACATAAGTAATCCATGTCATGTTTATATGTTATTTTTTATCAACATGGCAGATTTTTATTAGCTAAAACAGCCAAGTCAGTGTATAGGTTAATGGAGTTAATTCTTGAACTAAATTGATACACGATTTTATAGTTTAGTTACCTATTTAATAATTTTTTAATTTAGATATTGAATCCAACAAATTATAATAGTTCAGAGGCCATTTAGGACATTATCTATTTAAAAAAAAAACGGTTTATACACGTATTAATTGTTTTCATATATTATTTTAAATTTTTTGATTTAATATAAATATATTTATAAATATATATAAATTTGTATATAATGATATTACTAATAATATACAAAACAAATATACAATATCTTAAAAAATAAAATAAATAAGTTTTAAAATATAGCAAATAATATCATCAATTTATCATGATATTTTTAAACAGTTAATCTAATCATATGATATTTAAATAAGTATTTTTTTCATGCAAAAATACATTAAGATAAAAAAAATAAATGAAAAAAATTAATTTTAGCTTTAGATTCTTAAACTTTAGAGAAAGAGTACAATTATTTTTTGACAGAGATTGAAATACTTATGAATTTATATTTAAAAAAATAAAATGTAAATAAAAAACAAATTGCAATGAAAAATTAAAAAAAAAAAAACTTAACTTTCAAAGGTTATTTTGTTTGTTAGTTTTATTTTTATTAGCTTAAAAATAATTAAATAATAAAAATAAGTTAAAAATTACAAAATATATTTTATACTTATGTATCGATCGAAATAAACTATTCTATCGAAATCAGCTAAAACAAACAAAAATAATTGATATTATTCGGTACCAAGTTCAGTATAAAAAATTATCTTTAAAAGTATCATATTTTAATATAATTGAAGTATTATTAACTAGTATGACCAATATGAAATGAAATTAACAGCAATGTGTAGGAGTGTTGGAGGACAATGGTGATCTAGGATCAATTGGACAACAGAAGGCTCTCAGCGCTATTGTGTACCGTTTTCTCTATGCCTTCTTGTGGTTGAATTTTTCTCTTATAAGTGACTTAATCCCAATTTAATAAAGAGTCCAAATGGGAGGAAAATTTTGTTTCAGATAAATTTTTTTTATCTTCCCATTAATTTCAATTCATGTGAGACTTAATCTCAAAATCATCTTCAAAATTTTTTTAATCCCAAACAATTTCGAATTTACCCCTTTTTGTTTTTTGTTTTTTCTAATTTTTCTAATATTTCAAAAATTATAATAAAATAAAGAAAATAAGGAAAGGTAAATAATAACTATAAAATAAACAAAGGATAAATCATAAATAAAATAAAATAAAAAAGAAAGTAAACCAGATACTTTTTTTGGGCTTAAAACCCAAAACTAAGCTTAAAAATAAATTAACTATTCCTAAATCAAGCTAAAGAAACAATAAATGGATCGAAAATAAAAAAACATGAACCTAAGATTCAAAAATGTAAAGATCCGAATAAAATGAGATGTCCACGGAGGTTATAGAGTTTTCCCAATGTTTCTGGTGAGGAGAGACAAGTAAATTGATAGACAAGTAAAAGTTGATATAATGCTCTGGTATGTTATTAGGTCATCTTGAATTTACGTGAGCTGTATGTTTCTCATTAAGGTAATCATGATTTATCCAGTAGTATGATTGAATGAAATTTTGACCACCAAGAATTTGAAATTTTGACATAGCCTGAATGCCTCTGTTTTAGAGCTTCTAACCATCGCATGCTTGGCATTTCCTTATAAAAAATCAATATTAGTTAGTTAGAGTTGACAATCTCACCTGTATCCTATGGAATTTAATTTGATCTGATCCAATAGGGTTGATTTTTTTTAATCAAATTTCGAATCAAATCAAATATTTTAAAAAAAAAATCAAAGTCGGATTTTATGTAAACTTGTCACGATCCAACTTAACATATATATATATTTTATTTAATTTTATATTTTTATATGTTTTATATGTTTTATATTTATTTAATTTTATCTTTATATTTAAAAATAATATATTATATTTAAATATAATATTTTATTAATTTTAGGTCAAATCAAATTGATTATAAATTTAAACATATGCAAGTCAAGTGGAGTTCACAAATTAAAAAATAATATTTTAATATCAAGTCTGATTTAGGGTGAACAAAAATCTGTCCCAACACAACCGTTGCTATCCATATAGCTAATTCATAAATGGTTACCTAATATTAGTAGAATTTATATTTTATATGTTGTTAACGTACAAATTTTATATTACTACCAATTAATCAGATTATCTCAATTCGTTGATGATACTTTTTTTAAAAATTAAGTTTTGTATATTTATCTTAAAGGCTAATAAAAATTCATGTTTAATTATTAATGAAGCGTTATCTGATTCATTGATAATATATACAATTTATGCATAATATATTATAATATATCAAATGTAAACTTATATTAATTAGCAACGGATTTTCTCCTGTAAATTGATTACTTATTTTTCAAAATGTAATTGTAATGGTTAAAATTTTAAACCAGTCCTTAAACTTTATCATTTTATTTAGATAAATTTTTATATTTTTATTATACTTAAATAAGTTTTTATTCTTTAAATTCTAACCAAATAAGCTTTTATCTTAAACAAAAAATTGATTTATATTAAAAATTTATTTAAGTACAAATTAAAGACTAAAGAGTTATTTGGATACAAATTAAAGTTTAACAACTTATATAGATATAAAGATGAAGAACTTATCTAGGTGTAATAAAAGTGAGAGCATATTACCTACAATAATTGCCTTAGAATAAACCAATTAAAATTTAAAATTATATAAAATCCACTAAATATTATATGGAGGAGTTCACACACTTATAAGTGATAAATCTCTATATAATTCTTGATTGTAATTTGAGTAATTTTATAATTCATTATTGTGGTAAAACAAAATAGTATGTGAAATGCTATCAATAAAAATATAAAAGTTATTTATTTAATGAAGTTCAGAAATTTTTTATCATTATAACCAACGTTGATTAAGTCATGTTCGTTTGAGGCTTTAGGGGTAAGAGCATAGATTCTTTCTCCCGCCCCTCAAGGTTTGGAAATTTTTATGGCGTTGACGTAGCTGATCGCAATTGCTCTATTATTAGGGTGTAAAACCTCCATTCCTTGACGTAAATTAGTGATTTCAAAACAATCTTTTTACTGTGAAAGCTTTTGGAAGGAAACAGAAGTTAGATCTCCCTCTTAGAAAAATTAGAATACAACAGAAGTTACATGCACGAACCTTCAGCACCGACCATCGTGATAACACTGATAACAGAATAATGAAAAATTCATCGGTCATTCAGAATAAAACATGAATGACAGATGAGTAACCATAATATATAAGTTAAGAGTGTATAAATTTGTTGTCTAACCTAATGAGCCCTAAACAGCAGCAAGACTAAACATATTTCCCTCTGTATTTGGGCTTTGATTCTTTGTTGACTTTTGAATCACCTGATTCAACATCTGCTGGACTGAAAACAGAAGAGTGAAGATTGCCATCTTCTAACCACTTGACATGATTCTCCTTGAACTCCAAATGTTTTATCGTAGCTGCCAAAGCAAGCTCCTCAGTGTATACGGATGTCTTTACCATGGTGAGTAAAACTCGACTGTACCTTGAGCTAAGTATCTGTTCAGAAGTGGCAACCAACTTGAAACATGGATGCTCTGGGAAATGGTCTTCTACAGAATCATCTTCTCTTAACACAGGATAGAAGAACACAAGCCTGCCACCCATTACAAGCATCTTAGCAGCAAGGTCAAGCAAATCATGCACACACTCAACTAAGCTATAGGATGCAGTTGATGGTATATGGTCTGCCCTTTTGTCATCAGGAACAGTGTATGGACCCACAACCCCCTTGAGCAATTTTCGTCCTCCAGACTTGCGTCCACCAGCCCGAACTCCATACGGGGGATCGCAAATTATTGCATCAAACACCTATGTAAAACCAAGAAAGAATACTTAAAAATCGAAAAAGAGAGACATAGAATAGGTAATGGTAAAGAAGCCACAAAAGTCTCTTCTAAAACTCCAAATAATCCCTTTCTAGGCACTTGCTTGTGGCTTTGTCCCTCATTACTAACTACTAAATATTTTTTAAAGAATCTTTGAAATTGAGCCCTCCTTTCTAAGACTATACATCAGATCACATCAACGTCCCATTATGATGACATAGCAAATTAAGGAAAGGTACCAGCTATACGCAAGTTGCATGTGTGATGCGTGTGTATTTAAATTAAAACAACATCGAGAGGAAAGAAATAAGGAATCATAACAGCTGAGCAAGTCTAGAAGAAAAAATGTTAAATGGAAGTACACCTACAAATTTAAAACAATTAAGAACACACTTACATATTCAAAAGCAAGCAATTTTACAGGATATTACCTCCTTTAATCCAGGACGCCAAGGAGGAAGGTTGTTATCTGCCCTCAACAACGCAATTGGAATTGGCAATCCATACTACAAAGATGCTGTAGCAAATGAGCAAAATATCCCATGCAGATCTATTGCAGGTAGATGAAACCAAAAAAAAAAAAGAATTGCTTGTTATGTTGCATATTCACCTGTTTGAAATTGCTCCAGACATTACAGTCAGGGCCACGTCCATCACGCACTACTCTGATGTCGATATCTGCACCCTGAACAAATTCAAGCGGTTGTCATTAGACAAAAGTTACTGCCCATAAGTTGCTCATATGATTTCAAAGAGAAAAGCATTGGGTGAAGAATAATTCAGATTAAAGCAAGAAAATACAAAACCATTGTCATTGCTCCAAAGTGAGCTGCAGAAACAAGAATGCTCCCCGTGCCAACAAAAGGGTCATATACAAGTTTCCCAGGTGCAGCCTGTGCTTGATTGGCCATTAAGAAAGCCATTTCCGCATCCATTGCTGTTGGGCCAAGATAAGTTCGGCTTTTCAATTGATACGTGGGTATAAGCTTCCTGTCTGCTCCACCAACCTCCCTACCAAAAAATATTCTCCTTCCCATAACTGGTGGAAGCCCATTATTAGTTGCACTGTCATCAGTTTCCATGAGCCAGAAATTGTGATCTGGACCCTTTAAATTAACTCGACCCTGCAAACAAGTTGATTAGTGTTACCATTAGCAAATATGATACCACAAGAAACCAATTTGACAAAATTTTTCAAAATAAGCTTTTCGAATTCTTCTTCTTTTCATTTCCAAAATATGACCTTTTCCCCTATTCTTACATGCTCAAATGAAATTGATACGCAATGCAAACTTCATAATCAACAAAATCATATTAAGAACCAAACCTTGAAAGGGATATATGAGAGTCCACGAATTCGTTCATTCTGTTCCTGAAGACTCATAACTTTTCCAAAACTATCAACAGTAATCTTAAACGTCCTTTCAGACGCCAAATATGGCAACTTCCTTTCATCTGGGTAGACTTTCACCGCCTCTTCAAGTTCCTCATAGCTACTCCCTTCTCCCCAAAGTTCATAAATTCCCTTCACAAGTATACCTACAATGTCCCCAAAAAAGGGTCTCAAGTTTCAATAACGAAAACTAATTTTAGCAGTGAAAGAAAAGAGAACAGTGGGAGTAGTACTTACTTCGGTTTGCGACGTTCCTGGCGACGTCTTCGGAAGGTAAATTAACGAAATGGAAAGGGGAGTCAGGGTGGTGGTGTTTGGGAAGCCGCCATTCCAAAACCCTGTTCTGGGTCCGGAAATCTGCGCTCTGTTTGTCTCCAAAAGCTCCGAATAGGTCAGCCAGAGATTCAACTTCCGGTTTCCTGTAATCCAAAAGTCTGTGGTAAAATACACATAGGTACCACATCGATTATTTTTGGAAACAAGTTTTACTTTTGGAGAAGCTCAAGGATGAAGAAAGACAACTGGAGCGAGGCAGAAGGAGGCCAATATGATTAAAATTTAAAACCCAAAACGCTCTTTCAGTCCACTTTAATGTAATGGAACGGTGCCGTTTAGTCAACCCTAAGCTTTCCTAATTGGACACGTGAAAAAAAGGTAGACCAATCAAAAAGTAAACTTGACACTTTTGAACACATTGACGACGCCAAAGGAAAATAATATAAAAAAATAACATATGAATGTGATGGTTAAAGTTTCACAAAATGAGTTTGATTAAAATTAAAAAATATATTTTATATTTGATATATTAATATATATTATTATATGATAATTTTTTTATTTTATATATATTAAATACAAAATAAATATAATACGGATACACAGAACTGTTAATTCTATCATAAAGTATTTACTTCGGCTTAAAACTTGAAAAGTCTGGTTAGAGTTGGTGTGGAACTCACTCAGCTAAGATGAGGAGACAATTTGGGTCAACTACATTCTCCCACCGTCGATACCAATCCTCTTCACAGCGAAAGCAGCAAACCTTCTAGGGGCCACAAGTCTTGTTATCTTTTTCTTGTTTTCTACTCCGGTTTTATTTACTCTGAACTGAACACAGCTCGTGTCAGTAATCTGTTTGATTGAATGGTTGCACTAATGGCAAACACTGCTGTTGTAGAAATTCATAAGTCATTATACATTGATGGAACAAGACTTTTTATGCCGTTGTACTAGTCTCAGTCAAGAATTAGTGAATTACATAGTCATTCAGTGGAGAATTGGCACGGTGTTGTCTGGATTCTTTTCATGTTGTCATTGTTCAAAATTTATTAAACAGGGTTTTGTCTACCGTTTGATGAGGAGCACTAATTTTTATTAGCTGAGTTTAATGAAGATTGATCCAAAAAGATATGATATTAGCTTCTCATTCATTAGAGTAGAGGATGTCTGAAACCACCTAATTGAAACCTCTTCAAGTTCTGAGCCTAACAAGAAGCAAATATCTACAATTCATGATATAATATTCATCCGCGGCTTACCACCTAATCTTGTAGAAATAAATCACTCATTATCACGAATTTTCCCTTTCTTAGATTCATTATATCATGCATTCCTAACAGTTTTAAACTTGAGGCATCTCTAATATGAAACGCCAAGACCAACAGTAATTATCCTAGCAGGGGCTTTGGAAAAGGTATAGACAGACCTAGTAGTCATCGTCTAAACATGGTCAGAATGATCAAAAAGGTTTACCATATCATGAAAGACGATATTACTTGTGGGCAGTACAATCACAAGCAAGCATAGAGTCAACCCAAAACACCAATTTTTCTGTATTGCTGCTACCAGATGGCCAAGCCCCGTTTTGGGGCTTTTTAGTAATGACAATATCCAAAGTTTTCAGAAGTCTGGATAGAGATGGCGCCGCTCACAAACTACTCTTATTCAGTTTTGATAAAACTCAAAATTATCATTGTCGAACCAAATTCGAACAGTCCAACTTATCAAGTGAATCAAATTTGAACATCTTAATATCTGAATTCAAATAGCTCATAAGTCTAATCAAACTTTTATATGTTAATATCAAACTTTTATATCTTAACATATTTTTTTTATTATTTTAATTATAAAATTATTATTTTACCTTTATATATATATATATATATATACCAATTCGAGTTCAAACTTGATTTTGAATACAAATAACCGAACTTATCAATCATTGATGCAGCTGGTGCCATACAAGCACCTCACATTGTCACAAGCAGCTGGTGCCATACTGGCCCAAGCCTACATTCTAAATTTGACAAGGTTATCACTTATCAATCAATGATGCAGAGAAATAAACCTACCAAACACCTCTTCTGACAGGAGCTCCATACTTGCATGAATCTGATGAGACTGCTTCTCTCAGTCCAGATTTTCTGCTGTCTCCAATATAAGAATAAACACCTCTCCCATTTTGTAAATAAGAAGATAGTTGAATTTTAGCAGTTACAGTGCTTCTTTTGGATAAATGGGAATCACTAGCATTTATCCAAAATAACTAAAGAAATAACCACCCCTCCCAAATTTCTTCCTAACATAAACTTGGATTCTCCTTTCCTAGAATCCTAGAAATATACAAAGATCAATCAGATACAAGGAAATAAAACTAAATGCAGTGTGAACCCCTAAATTTATAATGGCCCTTGGGGACTCAAGATGAAATGTATCCATTAAGCTTGCATTTCCGAAGAGCAGTGGGAAACTTCCCACTGCTCTTCCAAAGGAAGCCTGCCTAAGTCAGGGTAGATTTGAAACCTCCATCACTTCAAAGCTCCAGGTCTAAATCACCTATCAATATGATCATTTCACTAAGATACAGTGCAGAACGGTGGGAAAGGCCTACTGGTGTTGTAATCCAACCAATATTAGAATTTCTTTTATTGGCAAAAAAAAAAACCAATATTAGAAGAGAAAGGGAGAGAGAATTAGCAGCCACAACTTTCCCGATGATCCTTTTTTGAAAATATTGAGCTACCACGACTTAACTTCTCTAATTTAACAGCACAAACATTCAGAAAAGTATAAATTGTTAGAAAATGGAAAGTATGCACCTCTAAACAACAACATTAATATCTCTAAATTATCAATGGAATTTCCTTAAAATGCTGGAAAGATCATTCTCCATGCCCGCCATCCAAAACAAAAGCAGTAAGAAGATAAAGTTGACATCACCAGCAATGAAGTTCAAGCAGTCCGTTCACAGAAATCTTTAGAACTCAATGATAATGAGATACTGAGAAGGTCACGTAATTCCTAATTTGAAGGAGATAACTGCTTCAATCTTGCTTGTAAAACTACTCCAGCTTCATCTGCTAATGTTTTCTTCTTAGAAGCAACCTATGTGTTCAATCAGACAGTTCCATTACCAAAAAGACAGAAAGGGGTCCTTAATAATTAACAAATATTCAAAGAACAAAACCATTTTACAAATAGTTAGAATAAAGGCAACATTATCTTGTTTGCCAAAGAAGAACACCAGCATTTAAAATAGTTAGCTGAGCGAAGTAAAAAGGAAATCCATCTCAACTTGATTGACTATGCTCAAGTCTTTTAAGTATAAGTTATATTGATAATTTTACCACGAGAACTTTTATTAGCATCATCACGAAACTCCGTACACATGTATGAAATAGGACTTAATGAACAGAGAGAGTGACCTTCCTTTCCCACAGTGACAATATTAATTTCAGAAGCCGTTAAAGCAATCAAATCTAGGGAACAACTAACAAGTACAAGTCAACATTAACCATGAAAATTAATAAGACTTGTAGTTATATACTTGTTCTAAACCAAAAGATGATGAGTTAAAGGGCAATCAGAATCCTTTCTTTTTTGAAAAAAAGAAAGTAGGATAAGGCTACCACAATTAGTTGATCCAAATTGGATTTTAATAAGTTGATCTTACGCTCGCAATAATCTTTGCCTTCAGCCATTGATTTCTGGCAAAAATTGCAACATAAAACAATCAAAGACAAATTAGATGAAACTACAGTACAAGCGTTGAACAAAGCAGTAAAATCAGGGAGAATTTGGTCAAATCAAGAAAAAAAAATAGAGACCTCAACAAAGTATCCGGTGCCAATATCAACGAGAACCTTGTCGGCATCGTCGAGGGTGCCGGGAAGATAGAGCGAAGCAGTGAGAGGAACCAACATTTTCTTCCCCATTTTTTGAGAAAACCCAAAAATATCAAAAGACGTATTATAATAGTATATTTTATAATTAAAAGAAGAAGAAGAAGAAGGAGAAGGTGACTGATAGTAGAATGGATGGACCTTGGGGGCGGAGTGAAAGGTCGTGAAGAGCGGTAGAGGCGATCTCCAGGCGAGCAGAGGCAGTGCGGATGTTGTTAAGGCTGTCTTGTAAGAGATTGACCTCAATATCGGCTTGTTCTTTCAGTACTTTGAGCTGCTCCAAGCTCATCTTCTCCATGTCCCCCGCTCTTATCACTTGTTGTCCTCTTAACGACGCCATTTTTTTTGCTTTTCGCTCTGCCGTTCGAGCCTCTCTCTTCTCTAAGGGAAAATCTTGTTTCCTCTTCGAATAAAAAAATAAAATTTTATCTTCTTTCTATTTTTAAAGTTCGATTAGCAGCAAAGCTTTCATCTCAGCGGTAGGACGTCTGTAGTTCGATCTTGCATAGGGAGCATTTCAATTTTTTTCTTTCTCCCCTAAATTATTGAAATATTGCTACTATTTATTGCCGGCAAGGATTATATTGAGATAAATTATTATTTATTTCGAATTTGATCTGATTTTATATATAAAAAATTTAAATTCGATTTTATTTGATAATTTTTTTATTTATTATATTTAAATTTGATCTGATTTAATATTATATAAAATTATATTTAATTTAATTTAAAATTAATAAAATATTATTTTTTAAATATAAATATAAAATTAAATAATTAATTAAAAAATAATTTTTATATATTAGATAAGATCAAATTTACTTAAAACTTGATCATAACGTAATATTTAATTTTTTTAAAATATTAATCTTAAAAAATGGGATCGAAATAAAACTCATCGATTTTGGTTTAGATGGCTGCCATGCTGCTATTATGTGTGAAAAGTTCAATGTCCAATTGGAAACAGAAAAAAAGGCCTCGCAATCCGGAAAGAGTAATTGTTCTTATCCACCATCAAAAAAAGTAAACATCAGCATATCATTCAACAATTTTGTTTAGCACCAATTACAAATTTTGATTTAAATTTTAAGGTTTGTGTTATAATTTACAGTTGATTCGAAATTCCGGTAGGAAGGCTCCCACCCATCGGCGTGCGTTTTATTAGTGCCGGCGAGAACTTACCCACACGAACCCTTACTACAATTGGGATAATAAAGTAAAGAAAATAGATTTCGTTAAGGCCATTCAATCAGCCTTAGCACAGCCTCTCCTTTTAACTGTTTTATGGGCCCTAAACTAAAAAGGAACAAAAGAGTAACCTCCTCCTACTCTACTACTAAATATTAAATATATATTATTATACGTGTAAAATGCTCCCTTAAAGGGAGCACAAAAACATCTATAAATTTGGAATAATCACCCAAATCTGAAATTTGAGGACCCATGATATTGCATTGCTTTTGCATGCATGTGCTCCACTTCAATTGCTAAAAGAGCCCACCACGATGTAAAGTTGTCCCAAGCCCATGAATGAATTGCAATGGAGGGCCTAATTTCTGTTGCAGGGAAATTTACCTGTCTAAATTCTAAATGCAATTAAGATTGGGATGGTCCAAACATCATAAGACCATCCCAACTTTTTCAACAAGGCATTTAATCTATGTGGGAACCCCATCAATTATTGGGGCCCTTTATTTTTTTTCTTTTACAAAGAAAACCATAATACGAGAACAGAGGAAGAACCGGATACTGAAATTAATGATTTCTTACTCGCTATCTCTCACTAATTGGTTTGCTCATTACTGCCTTCACTGATTGTTTTTTCTTCTTTCTGCCAAGACTTGAAAAACTCTTCCGTTCAACAATTATACTATCATCTGGACTGCCATATCCATCAACATGTCCCATTTCTTTTCCTAGAAATTGCAAATTCCTTACCAATCTACCTTTGGGAACACAATTCAGTCACCATCTTCCTCCCTCCTTTGATAAGCAATTCATTTCAAATCATAAGTGACTAAGTTTCGAAAACTCTGCAATTGTTTCCATGAAAATGCTTGTTACAGCAGATCAATTGACATGCCAGTAAAAGTTCAAAGATCCACAGTAGTACATTTCCTACCTAAGCAGCACGTTGCGAAATGGTACAATTGCCCAGACATTTACTCTCAAGGGATTTCTTTCCCATCACCACAGATTTTTGTATTAACTGCAGTTCTTTTTCCGGTTGAGGGACGACAAGATGACTGCTGCATGCGTTTTGTTACCTCCCCTCCAAGTACCAAGAGGAAGAGGAGTTACGACATTATTCAAGCATACGCAATGCAAGTCCATAGTTCTGAGGAATACAGTTACGTTGCACAGAACAATAAATAGCATGATAAAGTCATTAAAATCAAGTCACAGAAGAAATATCATGTACTAGTAGGAAGTGACAACTAAAATCCAGAATCATAGCTAGTTTTAAAGCTTATACTTTCTATCGGCGTAGCCAAAGAAACCAATTCTAGTTTCTAATGTTTCCAAAAGTAGTATTGATTACATGGATGAAGTTCAATGCTCTGTATATGTTACACAGTGATCAAACTTCCAGTAATAAGTTTTGTTGGTTACACCCAGCAAGAAGAGTACAAGTTGTCATGCCAATTATTATACCTCTGAACCAAACTATTAAATAAGTAGATAGGACCACTTATTCTTATTAAAGATGTCCAAAGATGACATTCACCATTGAAGAGACACGAGCGGGTGAGCCAATTATGAAAGAAGACATAAATCAAACACAACCCAGATATTGAACTGCTTGGTAGCAGAACTAAATGCATTCTTACGTAGAGCAGAACAGAAGGTAATGATAGCACGCACCTAAAGGAAAGAATGAGCAAGGGAAAGTAAAATTGAGAAAAACAGAAGGGTCTTTTATTCACACAACAGGCACCCAAAAACAATCCACTTACATACATGAAAACACATTATTTGCACGCTGATAAATCTAAGAAATGGATAAGAATACAGCTAAAATTTTCCAAAACAGAGGTCTTACAGAAAGGAACCAGAGCCTTTATCTTTCACACGGCAGTCTCCTTTGAGATCATGTGATCAACATAGACAGTGAAAGCAGAAGAGAAAGGGCCAGATCAACCCACGTCCATGGCATATCATGAGCTTGCACTTAAGAACCATAAACAATGCTAGGCTACGCCACATGGCAGCAATGAAACTAATAATTCTCAAACATCATTAGCAATAAAGGGAATTCCAGCATATTTAGGGAGACCATATGTCGACAACATCAAGCCAAGCACGGTGTCATACAGAGCAAAGCTCTGGTTTTCAGCATCCCGGTCATCCAATTTTTGTTAACAAACTCAAATTCCAATAATGTGTAAATCAAGCACAATCCACAACTAAGATTCAACTCGCTTTGCACGTTCATCATTGCTATATCATCATGAATTATGGAAGAACTTGCCAACGCGGAAAAGCAATGAATTCTTCAAATACAGGTTTACAACCTCTTTCAACATGGGAAATAAACCTCCACGGTTTCTTCAAATCAGAAAGAAATCAGCAAGACCTCGCACAAAAGCAAAGAGAAATAATAGCACCCTATTTTCTCAAAAAAAAAAAAATTATTACCAAACTTGACAAATCACAAAAGAAATCCCCAATTCTGGAAATCCCCAAATTCAGCAAGCGGCCGGTCGCAAAATCTCAGTCACCCACGCCCTAATTCTTGACTCCCCTCTCCTTCTCCAACATAAACCCTCAAAATCCTAAACAATTGTGAACGGTCTAAAACCCTAATTAATCACATCAAATAAAAGTGCTAAGAAAAAACCCTAATTTGAATCCATTCATCATCCAAATTATCCCCTCGAAACCCTAATCCCCTAACCCTAAAATTCCAACTAAAGATCCTCTTCCACATCCACACACATGAAAACAACAACCATACACATATTTATAGAATCTATATATATTCATATAAATTTATATACTCCCAACAACAATAAGGGTAAAATGGTCCACCACAATTCAACGAGGATCCTCGCCTCTCCGACCCGAACTTCCTGGAGGACCCGACAACGAGGCTAACAAATTTAAATGACTAGGAAGATAATTGCCAACCCTCGCCGCCGACGCTTCTCCCATCGCTTGCTGTTGCTGGACGAACAACGCAGCGGCTGGTTGCTGAGCCGCCGCAGCAGCAACAGCAGCCGTTTGTACCACCATCTCCGGTGGAGGCGGGGGCGCGAAGCTCCATAATTGACCAAAGTCGGACCTCGCCGGAACAGCCCAGAACCCACCTGTGTGTGTCCCAGCGGGTCCCACAATGGACCCCACGCCTGGGCCAACTGTGACCCCTCCGGAATCGTCCTTTCCGGCGTTATCATCGTCGGACCTGACACGTTTCCCGAGTATAAAAGGGGTGGGGCCTTGTAGAGGCTTTTGATCCAAAGACGAAGAAGTCATGGACGGTAAAGAAGTAGAATTAGCTCCGCCGCGGACGGAAGCCGACACGCTGGAGAAGCTGGCGGGAGTTGTTCCAGTACCAGTGGCGGCTACTATGGAAGGTTCAGCTTGGCGTAACAGCCACTCAATAGTCTGACCATCGGACTTGTGACCCAACTCACGAGTCAACTGGAAAACACGAGCGGCACAAATGATTGGCATCCTGATTCTTCTTCCACGACCATCGACTTTGCTGTGACGGTCTTTGGAAGGAGGTTTTTTGACGACGAGGGAACCGTTGCCCGGCGCTTGTTGTCTCTGAGGGTCCATTATAGCTCCGTTTGTAGCACCACCCTCTGAATTTGACATGGGAAGGACCGCTACACTCTTACTCCAAATTCCCCTTTACCTTTTTTTTTTTTTTTCTTCTTTAAGTTTTTGCTTCAAACTAAAAAGATTGCCACTGCTGTTTCGGGTTATCGGAGATTAAAAGACACCACCAAAAGTTTTGAAAGAAGAAGAATTTGGAATTAAAATTTTTACACGGAAGAGGAGAGAGAGGGAGAAGAGTGCTAATCATTGAGCGGCAGGAGCTGGTGGAGACAGGAAGAAGGGCACATGGTTGGTGGGTCCCACAGTACCATCCCCCACAGCTCACGCCCTCCTCCTCTCTCTCCTCTTTTCTTTCCCACTTTCTCTGTTTCATTCCCACGCGCCTCCTTTCTTTTTTTTTTTTTAACCAAGGGAGGATGTGGGGCCCACTTTCTTTTCGTACTTTTGAATTGAAGGTTCCAATCTACGTGCCGCAAGTTCATTATCCATTTATTTTTAGCCACGTCACTGTTTAACAGTGATTATAATCTTCGCCCTTCGATTAAATGGGATCTGTTTGGTCATTGACTTCTACCAACAAAGGGTTCTTTTTTTTCTTGTTTGATTCTAACACAAGGTTTTAACATCACAATCTTTTTGTAATTTTACGTAAACTTCAGTAGTTGAATTTGAACATTTTTACGTAAACCAATGTTTGTGTTATCTCTACTTGTACGAAATCTAAACTAGTCTAAAACTACACTCAAGTCATGACTATCCTAATCAAAGATAAAGTGGAGACAATCTATTTCCTTGGTATCCTTCATCTTTTACCCTTTTTTTATCATTCTGTCAAACAAAAACCTCAAACTAGACGACAATAATATTAAAAAAAAAAATCAATAAGGTGATGTTTAGTTTGAAAGAATCAATAAGACGGCATAAATTATTTTTCGAAATCTTCACATTGTTTATTTGATTTTTATATTTGATTCAAGGTATTCAGTGTCAAATAAAAAATTCATCTTATTATAATTTGATTTAAGTAAAAAATTGATAAAATAATAATTATTTTTTAAAAAAGTATGTATGTAAGTGATTGAAATTTAATTATAAATTTTTGTATAGAAAAAAGTAAGTATAAAATAATTATATAAAATATTATATAAAAAATACCTTAAATATTTTTTTTATAAAAATATTAATCTTAAACCTTAAATATTAAATTTAAAGTGTTTTCTATACAAAAAAGTATTAAATAATCTTTTTATATTTTTATAAATAGGTTATATTTTAAGATTTAAGATTTATGATTAATATTTTTATAAAAAAATTATTTAAGGTATTTTTTGTACATAAACATCTTAAATAATTTTTTTATAAATTAAAGGATAATTATTAAATGATCCATAATATAAAAAAATAAAAAAATTATTTAAGATATTATTATGCAGAAATACCTTAAATGATTTTTTTATAAAAAAATTCAAAAAATATTTTTAATTTTTTTCATGATATAAAAAAAGTGACAAACACATTAATTGATTTTTTTAACGATTTTTTCTATCAACTTTTATTATTCAAAAAGTACTAAATGCTTCAATTGATGATATTTTTATAAATAAAAATAATAATCAAATAAAATATTTATTTTATTTTATTATTAAATGTATCATTTTTTGTTAAGATAATTTTTAGTAATAAAATAAAATAAAAAGTTACTTTCATATATATATATATATATATATATATATCAAAGAGATTATAATAATTATAAAAAATTTAATATATGTGAATTTCTCTCAAACAATTAATGAATCTGAATATATAATATCCAAAAAAATAAAAAAAGAATAGATATCATACTTTTCTAAAAATCATTTTCTTTTCAAAATTTAAAATTTTATAAACTAAACATCTTTTAAAAGATTACAGATATAAACCTTAAGACCACGAACTAGAGTAGATAATTGCTACTGTGGCTTTAGCTTGGATAATGCTATTAAATTTTTTTTGAATTTTTTTATATAAATGTTAGAATTTAAATTATAAATTATTAAATACCAAATTTTTTAGAGATAATTATTACAATCAATTAAATTAAAATTTTGAATTCTAATTTTAAACTTACCTGAGGAAAGATGATGTGAAGGGATGAATTTTCTTTTTGCTTGTGATGAAATCATATGTCTTGTTTATGTGTGTACTCTCTTCTCCTTTGTGACTTGTGGGAAATATTAATCATAAGTTGGTTTTGTGGGGTTTGATGTACTTTAAGACGACGAAATATTTGATGGGTTTTTCTCATTGATTTGATGCAAATCCTATTTTGGCATCTTTCAACCACGGATTATTATGACAAATAGCAACATTATCCTCAATTCCCAACTATATGTATAGGTAATATTTTAATCCACTCTAATCATTATTATTATTATTATTATTATTATTATTATGCTACAACCAATTTTAGTGCCTACGTTCATTTATTACACTTTGTTTGGTTTCTATTAAATAGAATTGATTTGCATCTTATCATTTTATGAAGAAAGGTTGCGTGTAATTTGTTTTTATTTACCAAACTAGTTCTCAATTCTCATGGTTAATAATTTGAGCAGCTTTTTATTTTAACTTATACACCAATTTTTTTTTATTTAAGATCATATTTAATTTGGCACATAGTTTGAAAAACATTTATTTGATATTGAAGGTCACTTGTTAAAATTGTCATCAAAATCACATTAAAGCTATTGACATTTAGATTTGATATTTTTTTTAATTCAATAATAAATACATGTATCAATTAGCTTAAATTTTTAATTTTATGGTAAATTTTACTTTTTTAATGGTGTATAGATAAAATTTTACACTTTTGTGTTCAATAACATTTTCCAAAAAAAAAAAAAGGAAAATATATGCTGAATATAATTTTAATTACATAATTAAATAAAAAGATAAAGTCTCTACTTTATATAATTAGACCCATCTCAGAAATTTGCCTCTAAACAAATTTGTAGTTATCAGTTAATGATGTTGAAGAATTCGATTTTGATGTATTGATAATGAATTTTTTTAAAAATTTTATAAATAAGATTAAGAGATTGTCATATGATACATTTATTCTATTAATTTTTTTGTAGAATTTAAAAGTTTTATTGATAATAAAAAAATAATTTTTTATATCAAAAATATATTAAAGAACAAAAATTGTAGGTCGAGGAAAAAAAATGGATTCATTTCGTTGCAGCTAACACCTAAACCGCACCGGAGCCTGTGTTACTAATTTAAGTAATTTTAAGCTTTTCAATCCTAACGCCGTTATCAAAGCTATTTCTTTTAAAAAAAATTTAACAATATTTTTTTGTTCTAAATGCTCGGCCGTTAGGGGGTTAATTAAACACTGTAAAACTGAAATCCAAAACGGGGCGCAGGCAATGATATTTTGGGATTAAAAATGGAAAACATGGCATAATCCCATTGGTAGAGGAATTAAAAGAATTAAAAAAAAAATGAATTTAAGAAACGTTGTGTGCACGGAGGGAGTGAAGGCGCGTGAAACAACTGGTGAAATGGCTTTAATGAAGTCAGACAGTAAGTTGAGTCAGTCGTTGCCAATTGACATTTAGCCAGCTGCTTATTTACGTAATTTGCCACTTTCCCCAAAATTCAACAAGGAGGCCCCTGTTTTTCGCGACAATGATTTGTGGGAGTATGTCGTGCCGTCGGTTAAGGCCAAGGAATTCTTGATTTTACATATCCAACGGATAAGGTAGGTGATGTTTCAGTTTATCATATACGCACTTAATCCTTGATCACTCGTCTACCAAGGACCATATTGTCTTTACGCTCAGGAGTTCCTTTAATTTATTTTTTAAAAAAATTTTTCTCTTTGAGTTTACACGGGCAATTGCTTGGAAGAATCCAACGACGGTCCATCCCAATAGCTCAAATTTGTTTGTCTATCAATTTGATTTTTATTTTTTGCAAATAAAAATGGGTTCAATATTTATGCCGTGAAAGAAATTTATCCTTCTACCTTCCTTTTTTTTTTTTTTTAATTTGCTATTATTTTCTGTTTTAATGATCCTTACCAGTTTCTATTTAAACTTAATTTTGGATCTAACCAAAAAACGTAGTCTCAAACAGAGTCTTAATCAATGAGCGTTGTCCAATTCTCTGACTTCGTTTTCTAACTAGCTAGTCCCATCTTTTTTACAATAATCAATTGATCATCAATACCACTTATCATCCATTCATTGGGATTGCTCACTTATTGCTAACCATCAACAGCTATATCCCGTTGTGTAATCCAAAATGCATGCATTAAAAAATACTTAATTTTTTTTTGGCTATGATAAAACTCTCTTTCTGAAAATTTTTACAGACTCTTTCTTATTAATCAAAAATAAGATTTTAAATTGCTTTTAAACCAGAAACAAAAGCGAATCCAATTAATCCTTGGTTGGAGCAGGAACAACAGTATTGCCTGCCCTGAAACGCAGGTTTGAGAATGATATATGAATAAAAGGAAAAAAAAAAGAAAAAAACTAAAAATGAATTTAAAGATTTGGGTGTTGGTTGAATAGGGACCGCCTTAGAAAAGGAAAAAGATCTCTATTCCCTACCTACCAAATTCCTGATTAATCTGGTAGGTGACAAGCTTTTAAGATGGAGAAAGGGACTGAGCCAAAACACTCAACTCTATTCTATCCTCTCATCATACCAATTAGATGACACCAAAATTTTCACTAATCATACATTTTCCTAACCTGTTCATCAATTATATATATATATGAAACAAATACCTCTCTCTAAGCAGGACTTGGAGACAACTTTACTTGGTTCTTGTTATATATAGCTGGAAAATTAAAAAAAGAAAGAAGAAATAAATTGTTTTATAATTTCATTATTAGAAGAACAAAATACATTTTACCATCAATAAATCTAGTATTTAGGCTTATCATTATCTTCTTAGCCCACATTTGAAAAAAAAAATTATATTTGTTAATAAATGTAAAAAAAAAAGATGTGTGATATATTGATGAAACAACGAAAGTTTTAATCATAACTATTAAAGTTCAATCTTGAATAATCTTAAATATAAAATAATATCATTAATAAAAAAATAATTCATACTAAATTTGGCTAACCTTATAACATGGTAGCATCTTTATTTTTCTCAAAATTTTGGATGTGAGCGGATAAATACATAAATCAATATGTATTTTATTATGATTTGGACATGTTTAAATTTGGTTCATCTTGCATTCTTACAAGGAAAAGTGTCAAAATGAACTGTGTCAAAATGGGCTTGATTAACATTTAGAAAC